TTTTTCTTTTTGCTTATGTGGTGCTGAGGAATCGAACCCAGGGCCTCAGGCATGCAAGGCAAGCGCTCTACCACTGAGCCACCTTCCCAGCCCTCTATGAGTCTTAAAAATGAAAAAAAAATTAAGAAAGAAATCATTGACGACACAAGTTACTTTTTATTTATTTTTATTTTGAGACAGGATTTTACTATGTAGCCCAGGTTTGTCTCAAACTTGTGATCCTCCTTTCTTAATCTCTCAAGTGTTGGATTACAGGTGTTCACCACCATGCCTGGATGATGACACAGTTTTTGATTTGTAAAATGTAATAAAAGGGAAAATGAACTAAACTTTCTTTACCGAGTGCCAGCATGGCATCCATAAAGTTATGCCTTGGATGTACTAGTCTCAGAAGTTCCATAATTAATGTTTGTTTTTAGCTTGTTCCTCATCACCTTGGGGTTTTTTCTGCTCCTTATATGTATAGACCATTACTGCCACATGGAATAGTTTTTCCCCCCTAATTCTTAGGGCAGCTGTCTTCTACCTACCTGTCCTTGTGGAGCCCCAACAATCTAGTTCAAATGGTGGAGATTCTTTTATTGCATCTTTGTTTACTTCTGTCTTGTTTCTGGCCTAGAAGTCTCCTTACTCCTTGCTATTTCCTGTTGTATAAATCACCTTCCTCTTGGCTCAGGTTTACTCCTGGGCAATTTATTCTTCTCAAGAACTTTGAGGGCCTAGGTGTGTAGAATACATCATGTTATCCTCTATACTTTAAAACATTCTACTACTTACACAAGTCATTTAAAAGTATAGAGGATAACATGATGTATTCTACTACTTGTTATAGTAGTTTCTACTACTTATTGTATTTTTACTACTTAATGTATGAAAGAAGAAATTTATCGTAAACAGGATTTGATTGAGCTTTGCAAGAACTCTCAGAGGCTTGATAGTCCATCATCTTACCTAGTGTCATAGCTTCAAACTGTTTTCTGTTCCTGGGTGGACCTTGGTTGTCAGACATGTTTTAGGTTATCAAAATCTAGTCCTCTCTTTTTTAACCTGTTTACATTCATTACTCTCCTGAAGCAGCATGAATTAAGTCACGTGTGTGTGTGTGTGTGTGTGTGTGTGTGTGTGTGTGTTGAATTTAGAACCTGGGCACACTGTCTCTGTGCTTTTTTTTTTTCTCTCTCAAGGCTAGTGCTCTATCACTTGAGCCAAAGCTCCACTTCCAACATTTTTGGTACTCAATTGGAAATCAGTGTCTCACAGACTTTCTTGTTCGGGTTGGCTTTGAATTACGATCCTCAGATCTCAGCTTTCTGAGTAACTAGGATTACAGGCGTGCGCCACCTGTACCCAGCTGTCTCTTTCTTCTCCACCTAACTGCCTTTCATTCCCCACAGGACAGTCATCAGGACTTCTCTGAATTTGTTGGGTAGATTCTTTACTAAATCCTTTTTGAGTACAGTTTAGAAGACATATGTGGTCTCTGTACTTTAGGTGCTCAGATCAAGGGTCTGGGAGGGAATATGACCATAGCTCAACTTTATGCTGGTTCTATTGGAAGTATTCAGACAGCCGTAGGGCCTCTTTCCCCTCCTGGTTTATTTATTTATTTGGTATTGGTGTTGTGAAATGAACCCTGGGCCTCATGAATCTACTACTCAGCTACCTCCTTCTCCTTACCACCCTCCAATTTGCCATGTTTTTTATGTTTTAAAGTATATTCTTTATATGTTAAAGTATTTTAAAAATTCAGTATATAAAACAAAACAGTGTGTAAAATAAAACTTGACTGGAATATACTGCTAGTTTCTCAGATCAAGAAACTCTGTTAGTGGTTTCGTACCTTGTTGGGCATTCTGTCCCTGCCACATACTAGTCCTGTGCCTTTGAGCCAATTAAATAACCTCTTTGTATTGTAGTGTCTTCATCTGTACCAAATATAAGGATGACTGGAGGGTAGTGTTGACAGTAGCACCTTTTCATAGCATTGTCAGGATTAAATGAGCTAATATATATAATGTACTAGGAAGGCCAAATTATTAAGTGGGTAGTACATGGTAAGAATTAGATAACAGTTGGAATTACAGTAAGCCAGTCACTAGAATAACTTTGGAAGCTTGTTAAATTGTAGATAGTTTAACTTTATTTATTACTGTCTTCCATATGGAGATGTTGGACAGTTAAGTCTATGTGGGACCTGAGTGGCCACAGTTTTTAACAATTCTCATATGGTCCTTAAGTACTCCAAAGGTTGAGAACTCTCCATTCTATATTAATGCTGTCAGTGACAGCATTCAATTTTACAAGTTGAAGTTTAGAATTACCCAAGTAATAGGTGAGTAGGTTCTCTTAAAAGGTTTGAACCATGCAGATAGTGGGAAAGGCATGACCCCCAACCTCAGACCCTTGGGAGGTACATCTAACTTATTAGTTTGGAAAGTATCCTTCTAAACACTTGCCCTTTTTCATTGAGATGCTAGGTAGAATTAACAAAAATAATTTTAAGGACTTTTGTAGTCATA